TTGATAACTGTTCATGGACTTGCAAATCTTTTACCGGTTACAGTCTCACCTTTTCTGAGCATCATCGAGCTGCAATTTGTATTTAAAAAGCTTTGTATATATATGCTTTTTTGATATGAAAAGTTTCCCATGATGCTCAGTGATCTCAGCTTTCCAGGTTTTTGGTGTCTAACTATTGAAATAAGTGTATGTGGAAAGATTTTTGCGAAAGCAGAGTATTGGGCTTATCACTGACAGGTGAACACTGACAGGGAAAATCGAAGGACATTTGCKTAAGCAGAATAGTGGGCGTATAACCAGGTGGATTTTTAGGCATTCCATCCACACCAACAATAGGACACCTGACCATCGAGGTTTCACCTCTATGCATGCAGTTTAATGCTTTCTCAATTGTCTTTCAGCCGTACATTTTTGCAGCGTTACTTGGGCGAGACGACGTTTTTGAAAGTTTAATGCTGACTGGCAAAGCAGCAAGCTATCGATGGGCATGTTAGAGGTAGATTAGATACATGGTCTGGAAATGTTTTCGCGGAAGCCGCAAAACGAATAAAATATAGCGCGGGATCAGGGAATTTAGAAAGAAATCTTACGTGATACGGAATAATAGCATCAGCCGTGAATCGGGAATTCCCAACTTCAATGTTCGGGAAGTGGGATTTTGCTTTCTGAGTTTCGGGAAAAACATGAAAACATTAATAAATAAAATAAAAATTCAAACGCCTTTGAATAAGTTGAATGTGGATTGCAAAATGTCGCGCGACGAGGCATTTAGCAAAAAAATAGCCCTTAATCGATATCCGGACCCTAAAAATGGTAACAAGTATCAATATATCATTGCGTGACTTTCGTGACCACTAAATCACGTAACTCTAGTCTAAGTCACGTCTCTAGTCTAGTTTGTTTAGGTTTGTAATCAGGCAAATTATTTTATATAATGAAACCTTAAATAAAAATTACCTTCGTATTTTCATACTAGCTCATTATGTGTGAATTGCCTTAAAATGAGATCACGCATTCATTGTCACTCAGTTCAATACTCGGGATGTACGATTAAGATCCATTTTCTCCAGTACTATCGTGATATTTGGTACCATTTTATCCAGTACTACCGGGATATTTGGTACCATTTTCTCCAGTACTACCGGGATATTTGGTACCATTTTATCCAGTACTACCGGGATATTTGGTTCCATTTTATCCAGTACTACCGGGATATTTGGTACCATTTTATCCAGTACTATCGGGATATTTGGTACCATTTTATCCAGTACTATCGTGATATTTGGTTCCATTTTATCCAGTACTATCGTGATATTTGGTACCATTTTCTTCAGTACTATCGTGATATTTGGTTTCATTTTATGCAGTACTATCGGGATATTTGGTACCATTTTCTTCTGTACTATCGTAATATTTGGTACCATTTTCTCCAGTACTATCAGGATATTTGGTACCATTTCATTCAGTACTATCGGGATATTTGGTACCATTTTATCCGGTACTATCGGGATATTTGGTACCATTTCATTCAGTACTATCGTGATATTTGGTACCATTTCATTCAGTACTATCGTGATATTTGGTACCATTTCATTCAGTACTATCGGGATATTTGGTTCCATTTCACCCAGTACTATCGGGATATTTGGTACCATTTTCTCCAGTACTATCGTGATATTTGGTACCATTTTCTCCAGTACTCTCGTGATATTTGGTACCATTTTATCCAGTACTATCGGGATATTTGGTACCATTTTATCCAGTACTATCGGGATATTTGGTACCATTTTATCCAGTACTATCGTGATATTTGGTTCTATTTTCACCCAATACTATCGGGATATTTGGTACCATTTCATCCAGTATTATAAATAATCAATTTTCGTGACAAAACACACAAAAACGTCATTATTTGACCTTTTCGCATCAATGACAGCTAGGTATGAGACTTTTTAAGAGAGACATTTTTGATTATTGAGAATAGCGTCAAATAACTCAAAGACATTGGATTTTCGTCGATTTTAGCAATGAGTTTATACCGAAGCAGATCTTACAACATCTCAAACAAACGCGGAAAGAAGCCCGCATCAAGTAATGTCCTTTCTAGTAATAACGGTGTAGAAATTACGAGTACTAAACGGCTTGTGCATTTACCCATCGACACATCGCTGGGAGTAAATAATAGTGAAGATCAAGATACAAATACTACTGGACTGACTGGAGCAAGAAGTTTATTGGTGTATAAGAAACTTGAGGAGCAAGGAAAAGAGTTAGGAGATGCTTCAGCAAGCAGTGATCTCTCTGAGACAACACAAACAAATATAGAATATCAAGACAAAGAACCAGGTTCAGACGATTCACAGTCTGATTACGAAGAAAGGATGTCTGAGAAAGAGTATGAACAGCCAAAAATACTAGACGAAGGGTATGAAGATGATAATACAAACTCTTTAACAAGAAAGGAACCTGTGCCAAAGGCAGAAAAGGATGAAGAAATTCACCCACAAGAATCGTCAAAACTATCTGACAGTGATAACGAAGAGAACGAAGAGGCAGACCGAAGAGAATTGGCGTCTGAAGACAATTCAATAAACGTGTCTACCCCTGAGGTCAAAGCAAGCTTAGATCTCGACCATCTCGAGGAAGGGAACAGCTACACTGAGAGAGAAATTTATGAGACGCAGCTTGTGCAGTTGCAACGACAACTAGTTGAAACTATGATAACAGAACAAGAAACAAGTAAGTGGTAATACAATTATATTTCCATACTAGTTACTTTATTATTTATTTTTATTTAATTTATTGTTTTGTTTTCTGGAACATTCTTTGGCATAATCAAGTGTTTGTTTGAATAATTTCTATAAAAAAAGAATTCAGTGATGAGTAGAGAAAATTTTAATTGATGGACAATCATTATTCATCAATCAGGAATTATTACTTTTCTTAAGTGATCTTAAGAGATCATGAACAATATGAAAAGCTTTATATTTGAAGCCCCGTTTACTCGAAGATTAAAATACCCTACTGCAGCGAGGGCTAAATCTTGTTTTCGTATCTCCTGGGGTACGAAAATGTAAGTCAGTTGTACCTGAAATCTTTTCTAAAACATTCTTATTGTGTGGCTCACCCTGAGCAACGTTCTGGGTGATTTAACAAAGGATGCACGAAGAGTTCTAGTGTACAGGTTGTTCCATTAAAAATGCTTTTCATTTTAGTCTCATGATTAATCAGTTACACTGCATCAGATAAAATGGCAGTTTTTACAGTGGTTTTCGACATTCTGCGAACTCCTACATTTCAACGGCTTTTTGTAAAATTGGTTTTTCACTGCTGCCAGTCAAGAACATAAAAGGTACTGACTGATTAATTTCGATTGACGGCAGCGAAAAAAACAAATTTAAGCATTTAGCTCGCAGCTACCGAGTTCGTAGAATATGGAAAACCGAACTGCAGTAAAKGAAGTAAATGCAAGACATTTTCAATTTCATTGTCGTTTTATATTCGATAACATTGTCATTTTTTCAACCAGTAACTTTCACTTTCCACTTGTGTCAGAACATAGTGTGTAATCACAGAATCACAATTAAAATGTGCATTTTGAGCCAGCTACTCTAGGAATGCTGAAGGGTTTTTTTTAAAGAAAACAAAGTTGTAGCAGAAAGAAAGGAAGTGAACTGAGTCTGGTCAAACAACTGCTAAACTGAAATAGCGAWGATTGATTTACTCACGTTTAGCCAATCACGGAGTAGGGAATTTAATTTAAAATTAAGATTTGATGTCAGTTTAAGTTCCTGGTTTTATGAGGTAAGAAAAAGCATGGATTCTACTCTTCTTCCATCGCTGTACTGGGGTGCTCCATTTATGCATATCAAACATTAAGTGTCGTATTTCCCTATGTCTGTCATCTGCAAGGCAGACCCACCAGTTAGCATCGTCCCCGTATCCTTTTTTTTTTTTTCTTCTTCAAAAATGCTCATGTCGAATTCGTTATAAAATGATGGCTTTTTTGTTTGCCGCTTTTTTGCACAATCCAAATATGGAATTGATCATACCATATATGGAGTGAGCTTTCTCTACTCCAACTTCAACACTAACATATAGAGTAAAGCTTGATATAGAATTTCAAGATTTGCTTACCCTGCCTGTCCTGCAGAAGTCTCCTGTTTTTGTCATCTGCAYGAAACCTCTGCCAAACAGGGTAGGGTTTTTCTCGATAGTATGGTAACATTTTGATATTCTTCTTGAAGGTGAAAAACTAAAGAAACTAGAAAATCTTAAACTGGACGTGCTTCTTCAAGAATTAGAAGAAGAGAAAGCAAAGACAAGTGAACTCGAGAACAAGCTRGAGTTCATGAAAAATAAAGCAAAGAATACTTCCCTCAGGAGGTTTGCAGACGTAGTTTATTTAGTATTATTATATAGTTAGGATAGTACRCGCGCGCTGATTGGTTGAGARCGCGTGCTTTATGAARGCTMAGTTGCGTCATTCGTATCTAAGATAACKGTTATTGTAATTTGTATTTTATGAAAGAAATAAAAAACTTGCTTGCTTTGCTGTGTGGAGTTTTAAAGCACTTGGGGATTGGCAGACCACTTAAGAAGTGTCGACAAGCACTCCGCTACGGGTCGTGCTTCTCTTAACAATTTTCTCGTGTTCTTCCAACCCCCGCGTGCGTTATAACTGCASAAAGCACGAACGCAGGTTTTCTATTTCTTCACTGGTACCAAGCGACACCGACATTGTTGYGTGCAAATGACCTACTTCACATTGTCACAAGAAGCAGTAGAGGACCACTTTTCTTTTCTTGTTTTATCTTTTATGGTGCTCCACTATCTTGTTCTTGTTTTATATTATTTACCGTTGTACGAGATGCTTGAGCCCGTCAGTCACCGRCAGTCTATGCTCCCTGTGACATTGTCAGAGATGCTGTTCCCGACATTGTTGTGGAATTCTGGGRAGGAATGGGGTTCATTGGCACCCAAGGCACCTTCCAAGTAGTTTCCACCATTAATTGCATTAATTAATACATTAATTGCCCAACCCGTTCTGTTTAGCGGCTCTACTTTGCCATGGCAAATACGAAGTGGRAAGTATTTTTTTGCACACCATAGGCATGTTCCAAGACTTCTTGAACTTTATTGCATCCTGCGCATTACTATCCAGCAACTCATTACAATCTATCGTGTTGGTGTGCTYTCTTAAGTCCAGTCATTAAATCCCAATCAGATCAAACGCTAGCAGAAGAGTTAACCGAAGATCAAGAAATCTCGAAACCACCGTCAACCAAAAAGAAAGTTCCTTTGGAGAAGCAGGTGACAGGACGTACGATGACAAACAGCTAGAGAAAACAGCTGATGCTACTCTTTTACCAAACGATGATTCACTGGTATTCAACTTTGACGAAGAACACTTTGCAGTGGCGAACGATAATATTAAAAACGGTAAGCTTAAATTCAGGGGTATTMAATTATTTGGGAGAACGCCAGAGCCTTACAAGCCATATTTTGTGATGCAAGAAGGAAAAAGTCAAATGTGTGCAAACTTCTTCTGTAACAACATGCRTAATAGGTAAATTACGAGCCTTGWATGAAACGACTGAAGAAGAGGGCCAATGGGCCTTTYACAACTTCRAGTCRCGTAAAARATGAGMCAGCTCAACTRGRAACCGTGGACAGCTGTTTCGRCCTGTATTGGGCACGGTGTATCTAGTGAGCTGGTAAAATCTGTAACAACTCTCTTCTGTAAACAACTCACAGTATACCCCAAGTAACAGCAATGTAGCGCCTTATATTCTTAGGTCTTGCTACAAGCCAATGAATATTTTTATAATTGTCTTCGTTTTAAAAGTCTCGATCATCTCAAACAAACKCCTGCTCTTTACTTTAATTTCTCTCATTTCCAGACGATAAGACGGTGACATTCTCCTCAAGGTTTGCAATTCTTCAAGAGTATAAGAAGACGATTGTAGAAACGGTTAGTTTAACGAATAGGTAACATCAATAGATCTCTTTACATTGTGCATAATGGTTTTCCTTTACAATTTATCATTCTCTTTAGAATAAGATTCTTTGTTTGATTCGTATCCATATTCATGTGTCTTATTTCGTTATGCGCAACCGTTAAACAAAGAAATAATACTYTTGGTAATGACACGTGGTCTCAAAAGAGAAAATATAGAAGCACAAGCTATATAAGTCTATAAAAGGGTCATAAACTCAGAATAGGCTTTAAAAGAACTAAATTTTCATTATTGCGTAGATTGTCGACAGGCTGTGGGATTTTGTGAACGAAGATGCAGAAGGATTGCAAAAGGAAGATGATGATGGCGAAGCTCTATCAGTTATTACGTAAATACAGAGTTATTTTGTTAAACATGACTCTTATAGACCTTTCATAAATTCTGTTAAAAAATACGATCACGAAAACCATCGAAGATCAGCTAGATTGGCCGGAGTAGTTGAAATCTAGGRTCGGTTGTTTATGCGTCCCCTGTTCCCTTGCCACACTAACCCCAACCCCCCACATACGCGCACCGTTAAAGATTTGGAGGAGTAGGGGTAGGGAGTTTTTAGCAATAAATACGTATTTTTGTTCMATTCGCTTATATTTGTTTGTTTTAATTTGCAGACTGAAAGAAAATATCAACAGATGCAGTAAGTCGATTTTCACAACAAATTTAAACCTCATTATATTTTTTTAGCTGCAGAAGATTCGATGTCATGAACATGTGAACATGATRAATTTGTTGCTTTTTAGAAAGTGGAGCCCAACCTATTACTCGGTTTGTCGAACCAGTCATTGATGTGTTAACCTGGTCCAGTCCAGTGGCATCAGTTATGACTTTTCTGGTGAGTCATAATTCCTTTTWTTCTATAGCTTTTTGGACGCCATCTTTGAAATATGTCCCCTAAAACAGCCCCACAATGCACTGCAATGCCAACTCTAACCCAGTCTTTTCCTCGAGCTATTTATTTCGAAAAATGTCCTATTAAACATATAACAAATTACTTTAATGACTGATAATATTTTTGTATTTGCTTTGAAGGTATACATGTTTGCAATAATCCATGGCTTCTTACTTCCTTTGATCATACTTTTGGCTATTTTCCAGCTATCTTCGAATTATTTTTATGCTAGGTATGTAAAMATTTCTATTTTTTAAACTAGGGGTCGTTTTCATATAAAATTTGTTTTTGAATTTCTCGCATCTTAGTGGYCTTGCTGACAAGTTTGGATTCAAGTGGAAAGAGGAGGTAGGTTACTGCGCATGTTCAGAAGTATTTTTTCACTAGCCAATCTATCTTTAGTCTCCCCGCAGCCGTTCTTAGTTCGTCACGCAACGCTAGAGAGTGAGAGTTGCGTGACAACAAGAACCGTTGCGGGGGAGCTTAATCCACCCTTGTACCCGTGCAGAGCTCCTCTCAAGTTTTTGCCCGACCTAAACCTATTCAAACAAKATGGCAGCTTTAAAAGTTCCTTTGCAGGATGGTTGTTTTATGTTGTTGTATTACTCTAATGCATGATGGGTAGCGTAGTGATTTACCGCTCGCCTCTTACCTTAGTGGTCTGRGTTGGAGCCCTGGCTCAGACTGGATCATATATGAATTGTTTTTGTTTYGTGTGTTGTTCTCTCCCTTGCCACGAGGTTTTTTTTCCGGATTCCCCGGTTTCCTCCCTCCGTAAAAATCATAACATGTGAGTTGAGTGTTGCATGTTGTGATGAGATGGTAGTGAGAGATGGTAGTCTAGATGTAATGGTAGTGGGTGTKGAGGGAAGCTCACGGAAGAGCCCCGTACGGGAAGTGGTGGTTGTAAAATAAATATATTTTTGTTTTGTTTTTTGAAGTAGGGATGGTAAAATATATATTTAAAACAACACATTGTAAGCACTCGTTTATTTACATTAACAGCCGCCACCACCTGATGATAAAAAGCTTACAGACAGATTTCAACTGGTTTTACAGGTTGCAAAAAAAGTCCAAGTACGTAGTAGTAATACCCTGGTTCCGGCAGTGCGTGATACAAATCAACCACACATTGTTTCTTTCTTGAGTAGGTTTTCAACGTTCAGTTGTCGCTTTTTGTCTAACATGGCGGATTGTTTGTTTTTCTAGAATGCTTTGGGTAAGGTGGCTGATTCTCTGGAAAAAATAAAAAAGTAAGTTTAAAGTAGTGGCGGTCAAAACTAATAGGAGGGAAACAGCAACACCAGCAGATTAAGTAAATAGCCACAGTATTGAGTTACGAACATCGGCTACAACAATAGCACCAGCAACGACAATGACAACCGTAATGGCGGTCAAAACTAATAGGAGGGAAACAGCAACACCAGCAGATTAAGTAAATAGCCACAGTACTGAGTTACAAACATCGGCTACAACAATAGCGACAGCAACGACAATGACAACAAGTATAATATCTGCAGTAATGACAGCAGTAGCAAAAGCAACATATGCAGGGGGRAAAAGACGAAACAAATAAACAGCAACATTGACACTAAAAAGGGGTTCTTTTTTATAAAGGTCCTGAAATGACCTCATTTTACTACAGCTTTTAGTGWGGTTGTACCGTAGTGCGCGCACGTTGTAGGTCAATCGAAGTTCATTTGTGTTATACCATAAAATACGATTTCAGGATAAGTATTTTGACATATTTGATATCGTCTACAGTCTTTTCAACTGGCAGCATCCAGCCACAAACACGGTTTTCATCGTGTTATGTCTTGCTTTTGTTGCTTCTTCTTTCTTGGACGGTCCAACRCTATTCATGTTTGCAGGCAAGTGTGATCACCTAAGTATTGTGTTCAAATACTGCACATATCAATGAGTGGCATYCTAAAAAGTGTTGCAATGTAGGGCTAAAACACAACAGAATCACCCATAGTGATTAACTGATTGAATTCGTATTTCAGGTGTAGGAGCCGGTATCAAATTGTTTGTCATAAGGCCAAYCTATGCTAAATTTCCTAAGGTAAGGAGAACTCTTCCTTACTATAAATGATCAAGCCGGTTTTTCCATTTTGAATGAAAATAAATAACAATAATGAAAATAAGACTAGTTTTAAACATTTTGTGTATTTTGTGTTAAGATTGTCGTCCTTTTCTTTGCTGTTTGCTCAGGTCAAGAAGCGTTACGATAGCCTTGCTCGGATGTGGAGCGAACTACCAACTGATGCTGACCTGGAAAAGAGGAAGAAAGACAAATTCTACTTCAGTGCAGATGTGGAAGATGCACCGGCGCCGTCACCTAAATCGCCAAAACTTGATTCTCCGAAATTTGTGACGAACTGGACGGACTTGTGCACGAGGATGAAGATTCCTTTTACAGAGTACCCAATGCCATGTAAGTTCGATGAGCAAGTGAGCTATAGTAGTAGATACGAGGCAGACAAGTTAGGCTAGACTTACAGGTCACATCAGTTAGGCAAGTGTGTGAGGTTGAACATTCCTTTTACAGAATACCCAATGCCATGTAAGTCCGATGAGCAAGTGAGCTGTAGTAGTAGATACGAGGCAGACAAGTTAGGCTAGACTTACAGGTCACACCAGTTAGGCAAGTGTGTGAGGTTGAACA